CCCCCCCCGCCCCCGCCTCTCCCCTCACAAACGGCAAGGTAAAACAACCCCTCCCTTCCTTAAGCTGCTTTTAACAGGTATCTTATCTTAGCAAGAAGAAAGACAACTCATAAACACTGGACCATACCAATCCAGTTCTTCACCAGACCAATCCCTTATTAGGGCTGGTGATGTGGCTTGGTGATACACTGCTTGCCTGGCATGCCCCAGGTCTTCCATTCTTAGTTTAAAAAACTATAACCCATTAGAGAAGAGCACCCAACTAATTCTCGTCTAGGATAGATACTAAACTATACCATATTTAGCACGGTCCACCAGACTGTGTGTCCTATTTTGCTTCCTGTTGCCGAGACCAAAACACTACTACTAAAAGTAACTTGGGAAGATACGGGCTTATTTCATTTTCCAACTTTCAATTACCGAGGAAAGCCGGGGCAGGAATCTCAAGGCAGGCACTGAAGCAGACGCCATGGAGCAAACTCTGACAGGCTCTCCACAGCTTGCTCACCCTGCTTTCAGTTACAAAACAGGACCGCCTGCCCAGGCAGGGCCAGTACCTCCCATCGCAGGCTGAGCCCTCCTACCTCTTTCCAATCAAGATGCCCCACAGACCTGGCCAATCTGAGGGGGCCATTTTTCTCAACTGAGGGTCCCTCTCAGCAGATGACTCTGGCTAATGTCAAGTTGACAAAATCTAACCAGCACACTGTGTACCAGAAAACTTAGTGTTTCGGGGGAGATAAAACAGGTACACACTCATTAAATAAGCTAGTCCCAGTAAATTAAATGGAGACTTGAACCTGAGAGGTGGTCATAAACTGTCATGGGCAAGTCATCCACTTGACACTTGAATTCAGGACGACACACACGTTAGGCAAATGCTCTTCCGACGAGCTACGCCTGCATGTCGAAGCGGGCATGAAACAAATTATTATTATTATTATTAAAGTCCGGTTTCCCTCGCTTTCCTAGGCATCTCTCAGGGTCCCGAACTCCCGACGTTTCCCGGTCTCTGGAAACCAGTTCTTCCCAGTAGTTCTCTGAGGGAACACTGTCCTCTGAAAGTGACTCGGTTGGTGCCCTGGCACCCACGCCTGCCCTCACAGTCTAGGTGGAGCCCACGGACGTAACCGATCCTTCTCCCGGGGTGTTTCCTTGGGACCGCGGCCACCATCCTGCATCTCCCCCTTAGGCATGAACCCTCCTCATCTCCTGGACGCCACATCTCCCCTGCGACGGCAAGTCTCGTGCTTCCCGGAGGGCCTGGCAGAATACTTCTTCATCTGCAAACACCGGCCGACAAAACTACCAAGTCTCCCGGCCCTGGGAGACGCTGCAAGCTTGGAGCCAGTTAGGAAGCTCAGGCTCACCCTGCGGCCCCGGCCCTCCCCGCGTCGCCTGGGCTGGGTCTCCCCACCAGCCCCGTCCTCCCCGCGGCTCTTGCGAACCGGGAGGCGTCTCAGGTTCTTACGGTAAAATCCACTAACGCCTAATGCACGCCTCCCTAGGTGCCTTTTCCACTCGGGACAGTTCCACTTCCGGCTTCCGGCAGCGCCCCGCCCCCCTCTCACGCCCGTTTCCAGGGCGAACCGGAAAAGATCGCGCGGCCCCGCCCCCGCAACCCGGAAGTAGCTGGTTCTCACGGAAGCCGGCTTTGGCCCTGCGGCTGCTGCCGTCGCCGCGGAGACATTGTTGGAGCTGGCAGCCTAGGAATGGTGAGACCTCGCGGTTCGTCCCCTGGTGGTCCGAGTCGAGCTGGGGTGGGGTGGAGCTTCACAGTGTGCCGCGGGGCGCGACGCCCCCCCCCCGAACAAGATTTGGGGCCCCGCCCCGGGATCGCCCGGAACGATCTGCGCATGCGTGAGTCTGACCGGGCTAGCCGCTGGCCTGCGGCGGTGCGCATGCGCAAAGGTGACATGCTGGAAGTGGTGGCGGGGGGGGGGGAAGCATTGGCCGGGAGTTGGTCCCGGCTCGCTCCCTACAGCCGCTGCGGCTCAGAGCCGGAGCGCGAGCGCGTGGTGGCTGGCGTGTCGGTGCAGTACTGTGAGCTGCAGCGCTGACTTAAATGCCCACTCCTCCCCAGAGTCCCCGAAGCAGACCTGGGCCGCTCCCTCACCTCGGGTGGGCTCTCGCGGGCGGAGGAGGGGCGGAGGGGCGGGAAGGAGGGCAGAGACACGGCCCCAGTGGCTGGTGGGACTGGGCACCTTCGCCCTCCCCGGGGGGGGGCGGTGCCCGCGGCCCCCCCCAGCCGTCCGGTTTCACTCCGGAGCGGGGCGAGCAGCGATCGTCCTCACGGGCAGAGCCGGAACTTTGCGCTGCGAGCCCCCCCCCCCCCGTCCGGCCGTCCCCCCCGCCCCGCGTCCGAAGGGGCGGGGCCTGCAGACAGCCCACCAGGAAGTCTGCACCTGAGTTTGTTTCCCTTGGGTTGGAAGCGGCTCTTCCAAGGCGGTGGGGATGCATTCACACAGTTCCCACACCACTTTTTAATCTTTTGAAGGTACCACCCACTTAAGCAAATCTGCAAGTGGAAGTGGGGGGAGGGGTGCAGTGAGGCACGGGCTGCGGCCTGGGACCTGGCAGAGGGGTTGTGCTGCTGATGTGAGCGGGCAGCTGAAGGAAAAACGTGAGCCGAGAGTCCCTTGGCCCTTTCTACTTGACGGTCAGGATGTTTCCTTTGGGACCCGCTGGTGAAATGACAGGGGTCTAGACCTGAACCTAGAATGTCTTCTGTCTGCAGCCTTTATCATACTCTCCAAGGTCTCACTGACGTCCACACAGCTACTTTTATTTTTGTTTTTATTATTTGAATCAGGGTCTCACTTTGTAGCCCTGGCTTGCTGGGTAGGCCAGGTTGGCCTCAAACTCGAGAGAGATCCACCCGCCTCTGCCTCCCGGTCCTGGGATTAAAGGTGGGAGTCATCAGGCCAGGTAATAGCTGCTGCTGAAGCGTAACTGAAGGTGGCGCTTTACGCCCCTTTCCACCACAGCCGCCCTCCCTACCTTAGGAGCTAGGGAACAGGAGCAAGTCTAAGGAAGCGGAGAGTAGGTTTGGCCCTTAGAAACCTCAGCCTGGGCCGGGCGGTGGTGGCGCACGCCTTTAATCCCAGCACTCGGGAGGCAGAGCCAGGCGGATCTCCGTGAGTTCGAGGCCAGCCTGGGCTACCAAGTGAGCTCCAGGAAAGGCGCAAAGCTACGCAGAGAAACCCTGTCTCGAAAAACCAAAAAAAAAAAAAAAAAAAAGAAACCTCAGCCTGAGAGAGCCTTATTTCCCCTTTGCAGACTCTCTTCTCGGCGTCTCAGCTCACTTGGTCAGAATCCTTGGATGAGCCTGTGGGACCTGTCCTCCTAGCCCTGTGG